TGGGATCTATATACATATATATAAATGTGTATATATGTATATAAAGTGAATAATGCTATTACAAATGTAAATAAACTTTTTTTTTTCTTTCTTTCAAGCTAGTTGAAAATTATTTGATCGAACAATCTAGTGCTCGTAAAATTCTTGTGAAGGAATGTAAAAAGTTGAATATTAAAAAAGAATAAAATTAAAAAAACGTAAAAAGTGAAATCATAATATACATAAGTGTGTAGGGAAGGGGGACTAAAGGGGAAGAGGGAAAATGTACCAAATTTTCTTTTTTTTTTTCAGACAAAAAAAAAAATCTATCAATTGAAAAATTCTAATTAAAATATTTATAATGGCGCCAACCGGCGGGCCAACTCCACCACCAATAGAACACAAAAAACAAACTAAAATGTTATTCATAAAAAATATACAAATTGTTCAAAATACCTCAACCCCCCAGAATTTGAATTTTAAATAATTAAGAATTAAATAATCCCCCAAGATCGGTAATTAGGTTTTATATTATGTCCATATCGCTCCATATCGCTTAAGTTTCTTAAAAAAAAAAACTTTATTTGTGTGTTTCAACCTCATAGAAAAAAAGAAAAAAAAAGCATATCAGTTCACATGTATAAAAAACTATAAAAAGCTTGTGGTTTCGACGTATATTGAATGTATATGAGAAATTGTGTGTGTTATGAGTGTTATGATAATGTGTGTTTGTTTGTAAGATAAGGAAATTAAATTAATAAATTAACAATAAGCAACATCTCCAACCCAGGAGGAGGTATCGATATTTATTATACCATTTGAGGAGGTAAAACCATCATTACCATCCATCATATCATTAGCATAATCGTTAAAGGTCAAGAATTCACTAACATCGGAAGCAGTATCGGAACCACTGCTCATAGTGTTAAATATATTTGCAAATTCATCGTTGGACATGTTAGGTAGACCATGACCAGTCATTGAAGGAGCAAAACTGACCATAGCAGCAGCTATTTCATTAGAATGTATAGAAGTGTCCATTGATAAGCTGCCAGGATTATGAGAAGGTAATGATACAAAAGGGTCTTGATTCAAAAGAGGAGATGAATCCATTAGGGTAGGAGAATTATCAAATACATCGAGAGGAGTAGTCGGAGAAGAGTTAAGTTCCATAGGTGAAGAACAGAATTCGGGAGAACTATTATTAACTTCGGCTTTATACAAATCCATAAGGGCAGTATTAACATGTAAAGAATTTTGAGGAATAGTATTGTTCACAAAAGAGTTCTTATGATCATCCGAAGGAGACAAAGGAAGAGAAATCGAACGACGATTACGAGCCATTTGTTTAAGTAAATTAGTGCTAGTTTTATAATCCTCTTTATCGGAAAGGGAAGTATTTTCATTTCCAAAATGAACATTATCAGCGATTGAACCACTTGGATAAGAGGAACGACGAGGAGGATTTTGTTGTTGATCATCAGAATTATCTTTAATATAAGCATCAGTTGAATCATCAACAAAAGTAACAACTTTTGCTAAGAGAGGATCGTCTTGCATAAGTTTGATAAGTTGAGGTTTCATAACAATGGCACGACCTTTCATCACATGCCTCATGTGACGAGTAGCTTGTCTATCTTCGGTAAAATCTTTACACATATTCCAACCACCATGAGAAGCTTCCATATAGAAATGAGGAGGATCTTTAACTTCAACAGCAATTTGAGCATAAACATCATCAATAAGACGATATTCAATTGCTGTGATATCAGTGAGCGGAAATTCCATTTTGAATTGAGTATTATCATTGGTAATATGATAAGTAAAAGTGTTTTGCGGGATCGCATAATAACATAAAAGATCAGTAGGAGCTTGCATGGTTAAGATACGACGCCAAGTTCCTATGGTAAGCGTTTCACATGAAATAACAGAGACCATTGTATTATTGTTATAAGCCGGAGAAACGAATTCTTGAGGTGGTGTGAACTGTTGTTGAGGTTGAGGAGTCGATACGGACGTGGGATCTATATACATATATATAAATGTGTATATATGTATATAAAGTGTATAAATGTGTATATATGTATATAAAGTGTATAGTGTATAAATGTGTATATGATATATAAATAGAAAATAGTTAGAAATTATAATAATAAAAATTATAACGAAATAAATAAATAAATAAAAAATAAAAAAATAGAAATATAAATATAAATGTATATATAGATAATTAGACATTACCATTAATTTTAACTGGCATTCCATTTGCAGGATTAACAACAAGTAAAGTTTGAGCAGTATTAATAACATTAGAATTTGGACTAGCATTAGGAGTAGGGAATCTTTGAGCTTGTTGTTGTTGTTGTTGTTGTTGTTGTTGCTGTTGTTGTTGTTGAGCAGCAACAAGAGAATTAACGGGGAAAGGAAAACCAGACATATGATTAGGATCACCAGTACCCAAAGAAGTTATTGGAGCAGTTAAAGGACCAGACTGCCAAAAACCTTGAGAAACTTGAGGAACGGTGATACCAAGACCGGAATTTGGTTGAGGTCTCATTCCAGCCAAAGCAATATTATTAATAGTAGGGGTGAGATCACTAGTACTATAAGAACGAGGAAGAGCTATACGTTGAGCATGATGAATAGGCATACGGAAAGGGTATAAACCATGACCATAACCAGGTATACATGGCATAAAATGATGACCAAGAGAATCTTGATTAATCATTAAATGAGCACGTTTTTGCATAGCCTTCATCTTAGCACGACGATTTTGGAACCAAATCTGAATAGAACGTTCAGACATATTGACTTTTTCAGCCAAAGCTTCACGAACTTTACTGTTTGGAGAGGTGTTCGTCTTAAAAGTATCCTCCAAGATAGCGAGTTGTTCAGGAGTAGCACGAGTTCGCTTTTTGTTATTTGTTGGTGGTGGGGTTTGGGAAGTAGTAGCAGTATTTGTAGTAGAAGATTGGGAGGAAGTAGTAGTACTAGTAGTAGTATTGGTAGTAGGTTGAGAGGATGACGACGTAGCTGATGGAGATTTGGAAGAGTTGGACTTGCCAATTTTGCTACCGCTCTCAGCAGTCTCCATGCTGCTTGGCTCAGCCTTACAGCCTACGTTGGGGACGTCTATATTTGCACCAGTGCCCTTATTAATAGAAGTATTTATTTTAGCATCATCGAGAATTGTCGAACAGTCCGAGGAATTGGACGCGACATCGATAGAGTTCACAGAACTAGTGGACTCGTCATCCTTATTGGGCAAGATTGAAGAGGCGTCAGTCACGCCGGCGATAGGAAAGCCCGAGTCAGCGGCAGCTTTGCTGAAAGCGAAGTACTGTTCATCATCATCGTCCGCGTCAAACATATTGTTAGATGTAGAACCGAAATAAGTACGTTTACTAGGACGTTCGGCTAGTAGATAATCAGCCATTATTGAGATATTGAGATTATTTGAGATGATGGATAAAATAATACAACTAAAAGATGAAAGATGAGATTGATGATAGTATTGCTTTCTTTTTTCAAGAGACCAATTGTAAGGAGGCTCGACTTTTTTTTTTTAATTCTCTATCTTTTTTTGGTCTAGGTAATAGAACAAAGACCGACAAGATTACGGTATCCTATTAAAAAGATTTGGTATTTGGGATTTGGGTAGAAAAAAAAAATAATAATAGAATAGATTAATAATATAATAGAATATTAATTGATTAATTAATTAATAATAAAGTTTTTAAAAAAAAAAATTTTTTTTAAAATTTTTTGACAGCTTAAATAAACATGTCAATCATTATAAAAAAAAAAAAAAAAGTTTCGATTTTAAAATAAAAATTTTAAACTAAGTTTGATGTACAAAATTTAATATGATCGGTAAGAACCGACAAGCTGTATGTAAAAAGGAAACCACTAAGAATACTACGAATAATGGACGAATAATGAATATATGCGGTTTATAGATCTCGAGAAATTCAATAATTCAATCCAATTTTTTTGCATTAATCTACTACTACTAATAATAAGAATAAGAATACTAATAATAATAATAATACTAATACTAATGATAACACTAATAATAAAATGATAATAATGATGATAACAGTAATAATGAAATATAATGAAATAATTTGGATTTAAACTTACCTTTGCAAGCAAAAGGGTACCTATAATGATGAATTTTTATTTTTAGTCTAAAATGGTTTATGTACTAGAACAAGAAAATAGTGATTATGTAGACGGTAAAAAAAAAAAAAATGGATATATGAAAATAATGGAATATAAAAATGGGTTCGAGGATAGATGGAAAGGTTTTTAATACCGCCTGGATTATAAAGGAAAAAAAAAAAAAAAAAAAAAAAAGCCAAAGTAGTATTTTAAAGTAGACTTGCAAAGTCTTTTTTTTTTCCTTTTTTTTCTTTTTTTGAAAAAAAAAGTCGAGCTAGTTTTAAAAAAAAGCTAAAATGTTTTTTTTATGTTAGTCTAAGAAAGAAAGTTTTTTGTCTAAAAGAGAGGAAAAGCGGATAAAAGAAGGTGTAAGGGCCAGCTAGGGGCAAAATTTGAGACTTGGAGAGAGAATTTCTTCACTCAGACGTCAACCAAAGTGAAACTCTAGCTGAAAGCGGTGGGATTAAAAACTAAAAGATTTGTTTGCCTGAACACAAAGCTCAGGGTGAGGGAACACAAAGCTACACAAAAATGATGGCACGCTTTGAGTAGCTTTGAGTAAAGGATTAACCAATCTAGAACCGAAAAAAACCAAAAGAGTGTATCTTGCAGATCATGCATGAAATTTTAGATTACCTACCCAACATAGAATTCGAAGCCGAAACGATAAGAACCATAAGAACCGAAAATTTAAAACGCCTAAAAACCATGATCGGAAGACAAAGTAATTAATAAAAAAGACATATTGTAACTATTGTACGACCAGGCGACTAATTATTATTTTACACAGACAATTGTTTCTCGTAAATACAGTACAAAGATTTTCGTAAGGTAGTTAATAAGTAATAGACTACAATCAAGGAAAGTTTCACGAGGGGTTCACGTTAAACTTCTAAATTAGGAATACTATGGATTTTTTATGGAGAACGGATATATGTCGTGTATCTTGAAAGGTGGTAAAAGTTTTGAACCAAGAACCATAAAATTTAAAATTATGAATCAATAAAGCAATAGTAGCAATACAGTAGTAGCAATAGTAGCAATAGTAGCAATAGTAGCAATAGTAGCAATAGTAGTAATAGTAGCAATAGTAGTAATAGTAGTAATAGTAGCAATAGTAGTAATAGTAGTAATAGTAGCAATAAAATACGTAGCAATAATACGTAGCAATGATAGCAAATAATAACAATAATACAGTAATAGACGGTAATATTAATAATAATATAATAATACGTAGATAATAATAGTACGTAGTAATACTATTATTACTATAACTACTATTACTACTAATATTACTATTACTATTACTACAATTACTACTAATAAGTAATAGAGATGAACATAGTACGGAAATGATAGATTAGCACGTGATTTATCGGCCGAATTTATACAGGAGGAGCGGGTAAATTGTAACGAATTAGTAACATATAATGGTATCAGTAAAAGATTTTTTTTTTGTAATGGTATCGTGTACGTATTTGTGTATTGGTATTCGCATTTGATATTCGCATCATAAAAGTATAAACAGTATATAGCATAAGTATATGTATGTAAGATGTAAGTAGGATAGGTAGTAATAAGTAGTAACAAAGTAGTAACAAGTAGTAATAGGCAATGCTTTGAATAACATAAGAGGTTAGCAAGTGACGCGTTTAGATGTTTCATAATTTGGCGTATGGAGATTATTAAAAAAGGATCGTGAATAATGAAAGTCAAAAATAGAACTCAAGAAACCATTTTCTAGAATTTTATAGTAATGTTTTACATATACCTGATACGTACGGTAAGTACAGTAGTAGGATAATAGTGGTCTAATAGAGGTTCATAGTGGTTTATAATGTGTAATTGTAACATTTACACTGATTGATCACAGGCACACGCATATAAACATAAACAAGTGGTTCCAAATGATATAAAATTTATTATCTTGGTATTATTTTACATATTACTTACTTTAAATATTACTCTAAATATTACTCTAAATATTACTCTAAATATTACTCTAAATATTACTCTAAATATTACTTTAAATACATATTACATTATTTACATTACTTTATTTACTTTATTTACATTTGCTTCATTACTTTATTTGCGACAAAATTAGCAAAAATCAAGAAGGAACTTGTTTTGTCATCTTAAAATATCCAAATATCCAAATACCAAATACCAAATATCCAAATATCCAGCGGAAAATATATACAAAAGTATTTAACGATTAAATGATTAAATGATTAAATGATTACCATGATTATATGATTATATGATTATAAATTATTATTACATAATGATACTATAGAACGTATATGGATGATGATTCTTACAGTCTTATGGTAAGTCTTATGGTAAGTCTTATGGTAAAGAATTGATTCGTAGTAAGACGTAGTAAGATGTAGTAAGAAAATTTTTATTACACAAAATTCTTAGTACGAAAAATACAAAAAAAGTCATATGTATAGAAGCATTCTTACACAGCAATTCTTGTACGAAAATTCTTATTTCATATCCGAGGTTTCATCATCAATGTAACTTGAGTAACAAAGGCACACAAGCAAATCATTGTATTTATGCAAAGTACAGCTTTTTAATGTATGCAGCATGTAGTCATGTCACGTGATTGTCGTTAACCAAACGAATTTCTTCTCATTCAAATAAATAAAACTGGGAAAAGAGAAACCATTGAATGCCCAAAGAAATTATCCATTATGTAATCAAAAATAAACATAACAATAAACTGTTAACATTTACTTTAGGGCGTAAGCGAGATGTAGATTGATTGAAACACTCGGCAAATTTCCTAGCGTACAAAGATTAAAAATTTGAAATAACCTAAAATTGACTTAAATCGATTTAAAATTGATCTAAATTGAGTTAAACTTCCCAAATTTACCTAAGTTTACCTAAATTTACCAAATTTACCTAAACTGGCCTAAATTGGCCGGGGAAATATCCTAACCAATACAATCATTCATGCATAAAGATGAACGGTAATTTCCGTAACAAAACATATACAGTTTCTGTGCAACGTAATTGGTTCATGAATCACACGAAACATCAAACCCAAAGGTTGCACTTGGAGATTTTCTTGAAGGATCAACGTTTTTCAAGATTACCATCGTCAATCAAACATGATGTTTAGAAAACATGATGTTTAGAAAAAAGCATGACAATAATACAATAATAAAAATAATAATACAGTAATAATACAGTGATAATAATAATAATAATACAGTGATAATAATAGTGATAATAATACAGTGATAATAATACAGCGATAATACAGCGATAATAATAGTACAGAAATACAGAAATAACGTAGTAATAATAAATAGTACTGTAATAATGCAAGATCACAAAATTGAAATTTGAATTATTTATTTATTGTATTTAGTATTCAAACCGCAGTATTTACGCAATATTTAATGAGTATTTAATGAGTATTTAATGAGTATTTAATGAGTATTTAATGAGTATTTACGCAGTATTTACGCAGTATTTAATGAGTATTTAATAATTTTATGTATAATTCTGAAAAAAACAGGAGTTCGAATCCAGAATAGAAAATGATTGGTACAATTATTTCATTATTATGTTAAAGAATTGTATCGTTATGTCATAATACTTGGCATTTATCATGTAACAACATGTAGTTTTAGCTTTGTGAAGATCTGGATTTCCAAAACATGATTGTAAAACATGTTTGTAATGGTTATATAACTTTTGTTTAGAATTACTAAAATACGAATTAGATCTTTGTCCCGTGTATGTAGTGTATGCACGTACGTACGTCTCTTACTATATTTTTTGATGATAACGAATGTCGTGTTTATTGTGCATTTGTCATATGTAAAATGTATATCAATATCGTTTTATGTAAAATATCGTTTTATACATATCAAATATTGTATCAAATATTATATCAATTATTATATCAACTATTATATCAACTATTATATCAAATATTATCAGTTATCGTTTTACATACTTATACGTATCATTCTAAAAGGTTTCATTTAATATATTTAATATATAATCTATTTAATATAATATATTTAATATGTTTTATGTTTGATCAAATTTATTAAAATTTATTAATATTTGATATGTTTAATGATACATTTATATTGATACATTTGTATTGATACATTTATTAATACATTTATTGATGTCTTTTATTGAGATATATTTTTATTGATATACATTTAAGGCTACAACTTAACAGACAGATACAGACAGATACAGACAGATACAGGCAGATTTTATTAATATTTT